CAGTAAGATCCATGTCTTCTATGGGGTAGTGATGGGGACCCGTTGTTCTGTCCTGTTATCTCGGTACTAATGACCATTGTCCTTATGTCTGTCCCAGGGACTCGCCTGCTGTGGCCGGGGATCGGCCGGGGACTGATGGACCGCTGACATCCATGAATTCCTCCGAGGATTTCCAGTACAGTAAGATCCCCAACATCTCATCTATGAGTTCTTTTCAGCAATGCGGTGGGGGAGGGGGTGGAGTCAGATGAGGGGTGGAGTCATACGAGGGGGTGGAGTCTTATAAGAGGGCATTGGGAGGGTGTCCCTGACCCTCCCAATGCCCTCTTATATGACTCCATATACCCCCCACAACCCCCCTGTTTGTCTGGGGGCAGGGGGGGCTTTTTTTTATCAGGTTCCCTTTAAGGGGGAACCCAGATGCTGCCCCCCCCCCCTTGAGAATGAGTAAGGGGAACTTGTACCCACACCCAGTCACTAAAGGGTTAATAAACAAATCACACTTTCATTACAAAAAAATGTCTCCATGGATGTCGTCCAATCACGACGCACGCCGACGAAAACTCGTCGCAAAATGCAATAAACAGATGGGCGGAGCCATGACGTCACAGCTCGCTCCGCCCATTTGACACTCTCAGCTAGCATTGGGGTCATAGTACTTTTGGACGAAATGAAACGCGTGTCCAGTCCTCATCCTCCATTCTCTGTTCCAGGTGGGAGTGGCCTGCAGTTATCAGTCATCATCATCCCGGCACTGCTGGCGGCCTCCACTATGGTGGCTGTCATCATCATCCTGTGGAAAGTGTTCCGGGGGAGGAAAGGACAGGAGGCGGGAGGTACGTAGAGACGTGTGATATATGAGAGCGGGTGACAACGCAGGAGGACAATTCAGAGACAGAACGGAGTGTTGTCACCCTATAACAGGAAGTGCCCAGACCAGGATATTCATGGCGGGATCATTACAATGTATATTATATGATGTCGGATACAATGTATATTATATGATGTCGGATACAATGTATATTATATGATGTCGGATACAATGTATATTATATGATGTCGGATACAATGTATATTATATGATGTCGGATACAATGTGTATTATATGATGTCGGATACAATGTATATTATATGATGTCGGATACAATGTGTATTATATGATGTCGGATACAATGTGTATTATATGATGTCGGATACAATGTATAATATCCTGTGATGTCACCATGTGCAGTCACGTTGTACAATCTTCTGTTCCCATCAGATGATCGGGATGCTCAGGGGGCAGTGAATGTGGGCGGGGTTTATGAGGACCCTCTTGGGGCCCCTGACCCCGTGTTGGAGAAGAAGCAGGTGCCGCGGGATTGGAGGATGGAGGATCGGGTGGTCCTGTGTCCGGGGCACTTTGGTCCCATCAGTGGGGCGGTCCTTGTCGGGGAGGACAGACATGACGTGGTGCTGAAGGAATTGTCCGGTAGGTTGGGGGAGGGGGCGTGGTTCTGGGGGGGATGGGATTGGACGGCTCATCTCTCTGATCTCTCCTCCAGACAGGTGCACCCCCGGGGAGGTTCAGGACTTCATGGACCTCCTGAGGTTCTACGTCCAGGTCTGTAATCACGACAGCTTGGTGCGGATGTTGTGGTGTCAGACGGAGGCCAGGCCCGTGTGTCTCATCATGGAGGCCATGACACGGGGGAACCTGCTGGTGTTCCTGCGGGAGTCACATGAGGTGAGCGGGACCCCGAGAAGTCCTATACTGGGGGAGGCC